CTACTACTACTACTACGACGAAGACTACGACGACTACGACTAAAACGACGACCCCCAGTACCATCACTGATCACCAGCGCCATGCAATTGCCAAGCAGTGCTGTCCCCGCTGGCCCGATGCCTCAAAGCCCAAACCCGAATCCGAGCCGTGCCTGTTGCCACTCCACATTGCGGCCCTTGCAACGCAGCTCTTGGCTTAGCAAACCGCACGACAACCGCAGCTTGACACACACGCACGCAAAGGGTAGCGAAACCTCGAACCCGAGCGCGACTGAGATCCTGAAACTTAACGCTTGCGGACTCTCTCGCATCCACTGAAGCCAGCCTCGACTTGTGCGCGGCCATCGACGCCCTCGCCCGTGTCAGAGTCCACCAGGATCTGCAACATGGGGAGTCTTCCAGTTCGGTAGTCGGAACATGAAATTCTTTTGACGTCGCCAAGCAACCTGCAGTCCTCCTTCGGACTCTTCGTCGCCAACGTCGCCTAAAGGACTACTGCACGGACTACGGAGGAAGGCGACATGCCGAAACTGGTGCATGTCGCATGGATGCATTACCCAGACTATATTGTCGTGCACACAAAGGAAGCCAGCCAATCTATATTTTATTTCTCTTCCATGAAACCAGGGAGCTGGTGGTGATCAGGGAAAACAAAGTTCGATCCTTGGAGCAGACCGCTTCTCTCAGATTTTGTGAGCCCACACCTGGCTTTCAGGCTGGTGGGTATGGCAAAGTTGATTGGCATCCTGTACTGCCCCTTCCGGTCAAGGCTCCCAATGCGGCTGAATTCTGGCGTGGTCCGCTTCCGGCTTGGTCTCTTGCGGCGGGTAGTGGGCAATGGTCACCTCCGACAATTGTGCTCGAAAGCGATTGAGGCAGAGGTCGAAATCGAGGTTCCAAGGCGTCTTCGCCAAGTGGCTGGCCAGATGGGCGCGCGCCGCGCGCGCTGCAGGAAGAAGTCTGGCGCCAGGCCCAAAGCCACTGCGAAGAGCCTGGGCTTGCTGGAAAACGTCGTCATATGAGAACAGCCCTAGGTATCTAATCGCTTCCCTGCGCCTGGATATTGAACATCTCTGCTAAAGGGCACCGAGGAGCTCATACATCGTCTTGGCCAGCGCCTCCACCTAGACTTACATGACACATTCTCCGAAGGGAGTTATTGAGTTTTGGGCTGTTGGGACTTTCATGGGAACGTTCACAGCTAGAGGCTCTAGTCAAAGTAAGCAGACGGCTCTGACCCGGCTTCTCCAAGCCTCCGCGAAAAAGACTAAAGAGGGGCCTCGTGGTAGAAAGCCGCGGTGGCTGCTTGGAGTCCAGGGACCTTTGGGCGGGTCTTCGGCCGGAGTTTCGGGCAGTGTTGAAAACCCATTGACATCAACTAGGACCGCATCGACGCCTAGAGCCAAAAAACGTAGGCTGGGATATACTGAAGACACAACTCAAAACTCATCAATAGCTGCTGGAGAAAGTGGCCTCCTTTGGCCACAGCTGCTGCTCGGGATGCTTTGTCTCTGCGCTGTAGAACTCACGTCCTCTGCAGGATGCCCAGATAGTCTTTGCGAGTGGCAAGAAGCTCCGCTGAATGTTTCAGAATCCATCAGCCTGCTCTTTCTCTATTTGTGTAACGGAGTCCATGAGTTCGGCCACATTTTTGTTAGCTTCCCGGCATGCTTGGCTCGTCTGGGCTTGGCTGTGAAGTGGTCCCAGCTGAAGGGCCCGAGTTTACGAAGTCGGAGTGAAGTTTGGAGTTGAGACTAGAAGCGCCTGCAGCCACTGGGTGGGATTTGTACTCATACCAATATCTCTACATCTATACCAAGTCACACATGCTCATGCCCATGCTAAGTTTGCTTGGTCTAGGCTCTCTAGTGCGGTAGCACTATCTCCGTGTTGCACTCTCGCCAGGGCGTTCAGCTCTGCAACCTTTCTGTGTGTTAATGATTTCAAACTATGCAGCATGGGTTTGTTTGAGTCCTTATAAGTTCTTCTGGTTTGCATGTAGACAATCGGAGTAGATATACGACCCTTGCAAAATCCTGGCCTATAGTGTGAAAACAGGAAGCTTCAAAACTCGGGCCTGTAGTAGTGCCACGAATTTCTGTGTATATATGGTTGCGCGCAGGCGGCCCTCCCCCTCCCACTGGTATCCCCATTTGGTCATCCCCCCTCCCCCCTGTGAAACGGCTGGGCTTGAGCTTGCGTGTGGAATGGTTGGGTGGTTTGGTAGAGGCCTCCTTCCAATGGTTGTGCATGTGATCATCCCCCCTTCCCCTGTGGAACGGCTGGGGTCTTGTGGGGAAGGCGGAGGGGAGGAGGGCAGGCAGAACGCACATCGCACGACCATCAACACATACATGTGTGTATATGTATATATAGATAGACACACATACACACGTATACATGCACGTATTCATACATGTATACTCATAAATGCGCATAATACATCTGTACGCATAAAACATATAGTTTCTCTCGCAAGCTATTCGGCTTGATTTCGGTGAAACTTGCTGCAAAAAGACACACGCTATTAGCACTTAAACCGTCCGTCCCCGATCCCTCGAGCAAACCTAAACCTCTCACGTGTGACTGTGGTTTGACTTTTACTTGCTCAGGTTAGACTGGCAGAGCTGCACTAGTACTGAATTCATTTGCCATGTGGGTCCTAGTTTGATCTTCTGTGCTGCATCTGCATTCAGGCGCACCCCAGCTCTCCACCTTTTTGTGCAGTTGATGTGGACCGTACCATCCTACAGAGAATGTGCAAAGATGATGAAATGCTTTGCCTGCGACGGCACGAACTGATCCCGTCAGTAGTATGCTGGTTCCCCGGTTCCCCCTACCATCTGAACATGTAACTTCCCAACGGGATCTCTTCTCGAAGTTCTGCCCCGACCAGGGCCATCGGACACAAGAAGTCCTTCATCGGAACTGTAGTAAGGATCGGAGGCATCCATCAAGACTGTCGTGTTGCGCACGAAGAGCCACTCATTGAGGATGCCACCTGCAATGAGGGCTCAAAGAGCTCTGTTCGTCTCCCGGTGGTCGGAGGCGGCTACGTGTTACATGGGCAAAAATTTCTCGATGCAATGCAAATTCACGGGGAGGTCCTTTGGTCTGGGCATCCGGGCTGAGGAGACATGTCAGAAATAGGAGAGCGATCTCTGTCTGCGAAGCCACGAGAAGACCAAACACTCCCCAGCTGCTCCTTCTTGCGTAAGCTGCAGTCGTAACTGTTGAGTCCGGCTCCAAAGCCCCAGTTTTTTCTCACAACGTCTGCCGCCCTGGGTAGGGAGTAGGGATGCTGACACGCGGTTGCTAGGACGTGGGTCCCTTCCTTTCCCAACTCTGAAGCCCTTCGAGACAAATTGGTCTGGGCCCCAGTGAATCTGCAAATGCTTGAGTTCCCGACCTCCAAGCCGAATCCGACCGAAATCCGACCGACATGAGCCCCAAACATCTCATTTCTTTTTTGGTCGGCCTCGGCCATCCTCCTGCTGGACTTTGTAGAACTTTCCCCGCGGGGTCGTCACGGAGCCGTAGGATCTCAGGGCAAAAAGACTTTGCGCGAGGGCCCAATCTATTGCACCCTGCAAGTCCTACCACAACTCTGTGTGCTTGTGCTAATACTCAAGGCCCTAGGCGTTTCATCTCCAAAACACAATTGAAGGAGTGGTTTAGTTTCCATGTGGTGAAACACATAACGCACAGAGCAGGGCTACAACCCTCGAGCGAACCCCTTTGCACGGATCCAGCGTCATGCCTGGGCGGATATCCGGAAGGCTCGGCAAAATGTGCCTTTCAGTGCTGGATGCATACTTCAGCTGGAACACGACCGTGGCCAACAAACAGAACTAGGCAACGCTGTCGTGAAGGGAGAGAGCCAATCTGAAAATCGCACAAGCCACATGTCGTGTACTCGTAGGGCCTTGGTCTCTTGAGGCAGGGAGAAGAACTGCCGGCTCTTGACTAGGGCCTCCGCCACGATTCCCTGGCGCGAAGGGCCCCGTGACTGCAAACCGACGTTGTTAGTTGCAGTGGCGCATGGGACCCTGTATTGCTTTTTCCCAGGACAGGCATCTGCTTGCTTTGGTTGGAGGGCTTGTGCGCATGCAGGCTGCTTATGACCACTTCCGCGTCAAACTTATTTCAGATGCTGCCACTCGCAGCGGTGCCGAGGGAGTCCATGCATGAAAACTCAAGACCCCAACGTCGCAAAGCCACTAACTTGTGGTTGGCGCAGCTTGGCTGATCTGTTTCAATTCCCAAACATTCAACTGCAATAAAACTGCGAAAACATGCATTCCCAAAATGCCCCTGCTGGCAAACCACTGTTTCCAAAATGCAAAACAGAACCTTCAAGATCTACCGGGTCTCGAACTCTCATCTTCAAAGAAAGCTTGGTGGTATGTTACTATGAAAAATGTGAAAAAAGGCAGAAAATGCAAGGACAATGCATTTACAGCCACATCCCGCGATATCTGGCAACATGTATGCTGTTTTGGCGTTTTCCCTAGGAAAATGCAAAAGATGCATTTCCAAGCCCGTGTCACGTAGCCGAATCAAGCCTTAATTTTGCCAATTTTTGCCTTCCCTAAATCGCAATTTCAATTTGCATTTTATTTTCAAGCACAATTTCCAAGCACATGTGTTTTGCATTTGTTTCGCAATTGTAAACTATGTATGAAGATCACTAGTATACCAGCCAAGTGCGCCGACCACAACGCTAAACCCTCCGCCTCGGGCACTCCAGTGTCCACCAAGGTCACCTCGAAGCAGGAAGACCGTGGGAAAGTGAGTGCTGGAAGAAATGACATGTCCCACACCACTCCAATATACTCCGGGGACTTCACGGAAAGGACGGGACTCCTTCGGCTCTTCTGAGTGACTTCATCCTTCTTCGGTGCTACAGAAAGGGTGCCTGAGGAACTGAGCGCGGGGCCATGCCCTGGCGGGCAAAGGCCCGGCGCAGGGAGGCGACCTGCGAAAGGAGAGGAGTGGTTCTCAGAGGTGTCGAGTCTTGTCGGCTTCTCTGTGGCTTCCCGAGAAAGTCTCCGGGACCCTCACTCGCGGAAGGGTATGCGGGTCTCCTCCCCCTCACTCCGAAGTCTTCGCTCTTGGCCACTCTTTCCATGCTGCACTGTGAGTCATGTCTACTACAGTACCCACCTGCATAATTTTCGGAGATTTAAAGTTAATTTCACGACCCTGCTGTGATGGTGATGCCGATGGTGATGATGACCGAACCAACACCAACAACAGCAGTAGCAGTAGCACCATTTGCAAGAGTAAGCGTTGGGGTCCACGGAAGAGCAAAAGGCCAGGATGCAAGAACAAAACAGCACACACGCACAAACACTTGTAATGGTAGTAAGTAAGCAGTAATCAGAAATGACAACAATAATCGCAATTGAGATGGCCGAAATCGAGAAAGGGCATAACAGGTCAATCGCAACAGCCCTGAGCATCATCAACATCATGAGCCATGGCAAACCATAAGAATGGCAATACTCTTGCCCAAGCTCCTGCAAATACATGACCGCGCCTGGTATCAACTGCTTGCTCATTCTGCCCCCAGCGTCCGATACCGGCAAAGCTAACCGAGTCTTGAAAAGCATCTCTGACAATCCGCATGGTGAGGGTGCCTGGGCTTCACGCTCGGCCTCATTGCCGTGGCGAAATGCAGCTATGGAGACCTCTCGCGCACAGGCACTTATGAGATTGGAAGGCAATCAAGACTTGTGATCTGGAGGTTTGAGAGTGGAATGGGGTCTCCGGATTTGACTGCTGCAGTGAGCCGAACTACAATATTCCAGGGGGCCCCACACCCCTCCCTCGCCTGTTCGATCTGTGCATGCTTTGCCCACGACAGCTGGAAGAGGAGGCCTGGGACAAAGGTGCACAAGCAACCTGTACAGGGGACCGGGATATCAAGCGCTGTGCGTCACTGATGGCAGGAGAAAAGAAGAGCTTGAGATGCACAGCAACTAGCAATTCCAACCACCTCAAGACCAGAAACCCGAATCTACGTGTCTAGGCCGCTGACAAGCGCGCAGCAGCAGCGGTGCCATAGCTTTGGAGAGCAGCCAAGCACGATGCATGTGAGCCAAGCGAAAAGCTGCCGGTAGAAACTGTCAGGTCCACGAGTTAAGGGCAACTCGGGCCCGCAGACCTCAATGGGTCCTGGATCCAGGAGAACGAGACACCGGAGATGGAGCAGCACCAGTCAACAGACTGCTCCAAGGGGACTGTGAGACGGCAAGCAATCCAAGATTGCCTAAAAGGCCTACGACAGCCCCACTGCGGCCTTTTCGCTTGTCCTTCTGACGGCGCCTGCACTGAGCTGGAGTTCGGCTCGGCGCAGGATGAATTCGCACGCAGGTCTGCACCAAAAGAGGAGGGGATTTGAGGCTAAGCTAAACTTTAATGTCACCAGCCTTTCAGACGACAGTCTTGCAAGGCTTTCCGACCTTGCATTCTGCAACCCCGCGATCCCGCCCCTCTTTCCTAAAACCTCGCTGGCTCAGTCCATATCGTCGAACCCGGCCTGACACTTGTGAAAGAGTCTCAGCTCCCAAGCATTGGAACGTCAGAGCCACGGAAACGCCAAAGCTCTGCACTCAGAACCATGCGACACCTAAATGAAGCTTGAAAGACCTCTACTCTACGCCTCGCTACTTGAACACCTCGGCTCTGTCGCAACTCTGCAGACGACGCCGTGACATGATCCCGAGCTGCACCAGCTGTCTGATTGCCAGCACCACATCAGCAAGCTTAGTCCTCCTCACGCTCCTCCTGCTGCTACGATCCCCGCGACAGTCGCGGCCATCATCGCCGTCAACAGCAATACACTGCAGAACGGCCTCCACCACCACCACTGCCAAAACCGCCGCCACCACCACCACCGACGCCGCCGCCATCGCCACCACCACCACCACCACCACCACCACTACCACCAATCATCATCATCATCATCACCATCACCATCACCATCACCATCACCATCATCGTCGTCATCATCATCATCATCATCACGACCATCATCACGATTACTATCATCATGGTCACATCAGAATCTCCACCTGCAGCTCTTCTCCTTCCTCCGTCTAGTTCTCCTCGTCACACCCGCCATCAGCAGCCTCACCATCGTCATTGCGGTCAGAACCTGCGTCAGCCCGAGCACCACCTTTATCAGCATGACGATCACCCCCCTGACCAACATTATCATGAGAACCGTGACCCGTCATCGCTATCACCACCTTTACATCGATATTAGCAGCCGTCGCCACCGCCACCCCCACCCTCCACAACCACCAGGACGGCCAACCACCACCGCAGCCACCACCGCAGCCGGCACCGCAGCCGGCACCGCCACCACGCCACCACGCCACCACCACCGCGATCGCCACCGCCACCTGCCGCCGCCACCGCCAGCAGTGCAACCCTGATCATCATGGTCGCCGTCGTCATCGTGGTCATCCTCTCGCAACCGTCCTCTTTCATCATCATCATCATCGTCAGCAGCGGCAGCAGCAGCAACACCACCACAACCATCGCCATTCTCATGTTCCCCGTCCTTCATCATCAACTTCATCATCATCATCATCATCACCATCACCATCATCATCATCATCATCATCATCATCATCACCAGCACCAGCAGTATCACCAGCACCATCATGACCATGGTCATCCTCATTCTCGTCTTCCTCTTCTTCATCATCATCACCAGCAGTACCCGCATTCTCACACGCACCATCATCATGATCATCTTCGCCATCCTGAGGAGCATCGCCAACAGCAGCAGCAGCGTCATCAACATGACCAGCATCGGCATCATCAGCATCAGCGTCATCACCGTCGCCATCATCACATACTTCGTGACAACAGTTCATGAAGCGGGACATGACACGCTAGGCATATTGCACGGAGAGATAGGAGACCGTGCATGGCATGTCCTGGTCTTCTAAGAGTTCTGTGCTGTCTCAACTCTGCTCATCCCGCACACACACACACACACACACACGCACACACCGATATCCGAGCCGCTGACTGACACCCGTGGTGGAGGCTGGAAGGGACCTTTGTCTGATGGCTCGAGATCTCAAACCCAGCCAAAACTCCCGGACTGAGAAGGGCTTCGTTTTGAAGCTCTGTGCCAACATGCCTTGTGCAAGCTGCCCCCGACCTGCTCCCGCTGTTGCTGCCGGAAGCTTAGCCTGGGCAAGCTTGCTTTTGCAAGCGACATTCCGAACTGTGAACCTAGAGGTCTGAATCCAAGGCCTTCCTTCTGCTTATCGTTTCGAGCGGTAGGAGTTTCCTCTCGCACTCCAGCACCTCTGAAGTAACGGCCCTCAAAACTCCAATTCACAGACTGAAAGGCTGAGAGCTTCCAACCCTAAGTTCGCCACAGCTACTACGGGATCTGAACCCACATGGGTAGCTCGGTGATGGGAGTTAGGAGTATGCGTACATGCTGCAACCCATCACCGAACTCCTTCCTGTCTAAGTACCATGTAGAAGGTTTACAACTTTGATTCGGCTAAGGCTAAGGCTCTGATAGCTTCCTGCAGCATAGAGTTGCAAAGAGCACGGTACATAGCAACTCCTCTCGAAGTTGAGTAGAGCAAGCCCTCACCAACAAAAACTAAATTCTTTCTGGGCCTCACGCTACATTCTATGTCCCAACTTCCATGCTGCATGGCTGGCTGCGGCTTCCGGTGCTTGAGTTTCGTAAATCGATGCACAAGTGCTGCTTCTGCGCCGCGCCAAGCACCAGCGTCTACGGGTTGTAACACCTGTTACAACGTGGCAGCTGCATGGTTTTTCACGCGGAATGCTGAGACTGCTGAGACTTCGACTGCACCACCGTCCCTGGGCAGTTTGGCTTGGTGTAGTGCAGATCCGATTTGCCTACCCCAGGCTCGAAGAACTCGAGGGATGCAACAAATCTGTACCAGTAGCAGATGGCGTAAAGTTGTATGTAGGCTAGCACTTCTTTGGACACCCATCTGAAGCAGCATCGAGGATTTAAAATACTGTTGGTCTCCATCACTTCTATGCTGAGGAGTTGCAGCACATCCTCTGTTTTTTTGCTCTCCATCGCATCATCCTAACCATCACTACCATTATCATCGCCATCATCCTCCGCATCCGCATCCGCATCCGCATCCGCATCCGCATCCGCATCCGCATCCGCATCCGCATCCGCATCCGCATCCGCATCCGCATCATCATCATCATCATCATCATCATCATCATCATCATCCATCATCATCATCATCGTCATCATCACCACCATCATTTTCATCATCCTCATTTTCATCATCATAGTTCTCATCATAATCACCATCGTCATCATCTGTGTGGTCATGATCGGCGAGATGGTGATCTTCCGACTCATATGCGACAAAGTCCTCGATTCAGGGATGTCGGAAGATGCCGACACTCTTGGATGTCCCGGTGTGAGGGTCCAGTTGTCACCGGAGAGCTTCTCGAGTTTGGACTTGGAAGGCTCCCGCGTGAAGTCCTTGAAGTCCTTTGGCTAACCACCCCCTGGATCAACTGGCGAAGCTTACTGACGTTGTTGGCTCCTCGACTTGAAAAATCCGCTACACCTCCCCTCAGGGTGTCTGAGACCCTCCCAAGACTAAAAGCCAGACCTGAAAACCTGGAACCCACCGGGAGCCGGGATTCCTCCGAACGACAGACTCTCCTCAAACGGCGGAAGTCTAAGGACCTGAAGGCAGCTTAAGGCCAGTGCTCGGGACCCTCGTCCTCGCTGCCGCTCACCTGACAGAAGCAGGGCAGTTCTCACAATCAACGCCTGAGTCCTGGAATAGCTCTGTTCTTCCTGGCCTGTAGGGGGGACTGCGGACCTGGAGATCTTGAGCCGTCTTTGCGAAGTGTTGACCGTTCCCAAGTATGCGCTCGCTTTCGGGCCGGGAGCTTATTCTCCGCGAGAGTTGCCATACAGGAGCATGCCGCAGTTGTTGATTGGCGAAAGCGGCGAATGCCTCCTCGATGGCGACCTTGACGAAGCCGTTGCCGGCAGCAGGCTTGCCGTTGCCTTGCTGATTGAACTGCGAGTAACATGCCCGATGCCCCACCGCTGTTCCATGTCGTGTTGTCCTAACATGGGATTGAGAACCCGGCTCTGCACCGCGGCTTTCTTGGCATCCGCCGCCTGCCGCTGGACTTCGCGAAGACTTTGGCAGTTGGCTTCCGGATTAAACTGAAGAAACCCAGGTTCAGCACTTCAAAGTCTCTGAACCTATAGACGGCCAGTAAGCAGATGCGATTGCACAACTGACTGGACTCAATTTGGTTGCCACGACCATGCAGTTTGACTTGACGCAGGGTCAACCGGCCAATATGAGAGTGATTACTCGCGTCAGACTCCAGGACATTGGTGATGATGTACCCGGCCCAGCAACATGCAATGTACACGTTTCTCAAGCTCCCAACCTGGTCCTGACAAGTGGGCCGCCAAGAGTCGGTAGCATCTACTCCCTATGCGAGAAAACCCTGCATGAGGCTCTGCCAAACACAACGCAACCTTTTCGAAGACAAACCTGCAGACAATGAGCCATTGGCATCTTTTCACCCCTTACCCAGCAATCACTCGACTTCTTCAGCCTCAGCCCACCTCCTGGAGACGCAACACAGCCCTAACCAGCTCGTGCCTCCTCCTCGCTGTCGGAGTCCTCCTCGATCTGCACTCGCCTGGCCAACCACTGGAGGAACAAAGGACCGTATCATACACAGTAGTAACAGACTTGCCGCGAAACGTGGTCTTGGCAGTAAAGGTGCTGGCAGTGAATGAACTTGCGGGGGACCGCAAGATGCACTTGCAGGGAGTGGCGCTCGCACTCGCGGTCGCGGTCGGAGGTCGGGGTCGCGGCCGTGGCGGTGGTCGTGATTCTAGTCGTCGGACTTTGCCGCTGCGTCGGCTTTGTGCCCCTACGAAGAATCGTCACCATATCATAAAAATAGCAATTTTGCAGTGGTGGTAGTAGTAGAAATCGTCGTCGTCGTCG